ATGAGCCTTTTCCTCCTTCATCCACCAACCTAACTCACCCCGAAGCCACATCTCATACCTCATCACTTGCCCTCTCTCCGTCCTCAGCCATCACGCCTCCATCCCCTGATCCCGTGCCTCTAATCCCATCCTCCAACCCTGCCCCCGACTTCCCCAGATCGCACGCCATGCTGCTCCCAGCATCCGGCAGTGCCAGTCACAACGTCCCTTCTTGCCTGACTGCTCCAGACGTTGGACCAGCTCTCGAGCCTCTGTCCTCCTCCTTATCCTCAACGGCAGCGCTGGACACAGCCCCTGCCTCTGCACCTTCTACTGCTTCTACTCAACCACCACCCTCACGCTCCAGCCCGATCCACACTCGCTCGAAATCTGGGATACATAAACCCAATCCCAAATATCATGCCAATTTCTCCACCCGTTATCCCCTGCCTCAAGCTTTTGCTGCTTTTTTAACTACTGATGATGAACCTACTTCTTACACACAGGCCTCTCGCTTTCCTGAATGGAAAAATGCTATGGTTGAAGAGTTCAATGCTCTTCTTAAACAAGGGACTTGGTCTTTAGTTCCCTCATCCCCTCATTTCAATACAGTTGGTTGTAAATGGGTCTTCCGAGTAAAACGCCATTCTGATGGGACTATTGAACGTCACAAAGCTAGGCTTGTTGCCAAGGGTTACCATCAACAACCCGGTGTGGACTACTTTGATACTTTCAGTCCCGTTGTGAAACCTACCACTGTTCGCACTGTGCTCAGTTTAGCTATCTCTTCTGGTTGGTCTCTCCGACAGTTGGATGTCAAAAACGCTTTTCTCCATGGCCTTCTTACTGAAGAAGTCTACATGCAACAACCTCCTGGTTTTGTTGATCCTAGTCGCCCTCACCATGTGTGCAAGCTTCATAAGGCTCTCTATGGTCTCAAACAGGCCCCTCGTGCTTGGTTTCATCGCTTTAGCTCATTCCTACTTCGTGTTGGTTTTGTTAATAGCAAAGCTGACTCTTCCATGTTTGTTTACAAAGATGCACATTCTATGATGATTCTGTTACTTTATGTGGATGATATTGTTCTTACAGGTAGCGACTCCAATCAACTCCGTACATTCATTCACAGATTGGGCATTGAGTTTGAAATCAAGGATCTTGGTAGATTGCATTACTTTCTGGGTGTTGAAGTTTCTTATTTGCCGGATTCAGTTCATCTTACTCAAAACAAGTACACTCTTGATCTTCTCAAACGCAGCAACCTTCTTGAGTGCAAACCTGCGACTACTCCTACAGCTTCCAAGACCTCTCTATCACGCTCTCATGGTTCACCACTTTCAGATCCCACTCCTTATCGGCAACTTGTGGGTGCCTTGCAATACTTAACCTTCACACGACCCGACATTTCCTATGCCGTTCAACATGTCTCTCAATTTATGGGCTCCCCTACTGATGTTCATTTTGAGGCTGTCAAACGCATTCTCCGTTACCTGAAAGGCACGCTCGGATATGGTCTACCCATTCACCTTTCTCCTGCCCCCTCTCTTCTTGTCGCATACTCTGATGCTGATTGGGCTGGATGTCCCGATACTCGACGCTCCACCACTGGGTATTGTGTTTTCTTAGGCAAGACTCTTATATCTTGGAGTGCTAAAAAGCAACGCACTGTATCTCGTTCCAGTGCGGAGGCCGAATATCGTGCACTTGCCCATGCTTGTGCTGATACAATTTGGATTCAGAGTCTTCTTCATGAACTTCACTTCTCTCTTTCTAAACCAGTTCTTCTTCATTGTGACAATTTATCTGCAACCTACATGGCTGCCAATCCTGTCTTTCATTCCCGCACTAAACATGTTGCTATTGATTATCATTTTATCCGTGAACGTCTTACTGCTGGAAGTCATCAAGTGCGGTTCATTTCATCTCAAGATCAGCTTGCTGATGTATTCACAAAAGGCCTACCTGCAGCCCGTTTTGCGCATCTTGTGTCCAACCTTGTCACCTATCCGGCGTCAAGTTTGCGGGGGAGTGTTAGGGAGTTACCACCACAATCATGACATTCAATCATAGTTATGCCCATTCAAGGAGTATTTCCGTTACATTGTTATTGTATCTTAATTATAGCTTTATTGTATTGTAATTACAGCATTTAGGTTTGATATAATTACTGCACTACCGTTGTAAAACCATTTACCTACCTCCTATGCCTGTATATAAGGCCTGTACCCGTGAATTGCATATATGAAAAAGTATCTTTTCTACAGGAGGGTTTGTTGCCATAAGGGTTCTTGGAGAGGACCAAAGATAGGGGCTTGGTGGTGAAGTCATGGGTGCCGCAGGTGGCGGTGTTGAAGAAGGAATCGATGGGCGGGTTCGTGACGCATTGTGGGTGGAACTCGGTGCTTGAAGCGGTGATTGCCGGCGTGCCGATGGTGGCATGGCCGCTCTATGCAGAGCAGCATTTGAATAGGAGTGTTTTGGTGAAGGACATGGAAATGGCGATTGCTGTAGAGCAGAGAGAGGAAGATGGGTTTGTGTTTGGGGATGAATTGGAGAGAAGCGTTAGGGAGTTGATGGAGTCGAAAAAAGGGGAAGAGCTTAGAGAAAGGAGTAGGAAAATGGGAGAGATGGCTTTGGCTGCTTGGAGTGAGTCTGGTTCATCCACTAGAAACTTGGTTAACTTTGTTAATAGCATTACATAAGTTATGGATTTGCACTTTGCACTTGGTGAATAAAAAAAATAAAGGAAAATACCAAGGGTGCATCTTCTTGTCCGCCTTATTGTGCTTAACAAATTTTCACTATATGTCATATTCTGGGATGCTTTCCACCCAACAGCAGCAGCCAACATCATAATTGGGAGAGGAAAGCTTTCAATGAGGACCTTAGCAAGGTTCATCCCATGAACATACAGTAGCTTGCCACTCTCGCCATTAAAAGCAACCCGTAGAAAACTTAAGATATTTCTAGTCAATTTGATGGTTCTACTTTACCATTTGGCTCTATCCATTTTCATTTTACTACTTTGTTTGAGTGTGGAAAATGTAATACGTGCACATCAAAGACTCTTGCCCTTGAGTTTAGTCATTTTCAAGTTCATGTCAAGTATACTAGGTTAAACATCCACTTAATGCAGCTCAAGTTTGTAACATATTTAGCTTGTTCGAGCTTTATTCTATCGAAACAAGCCAAACTCAGTAAGCTTTTTAAAATTTAAGTCAAGCTTAAGTTTCATAAGGTCCGTAAAAAGTTCAAATTGTATCAAGAGATACGTCATAAGTTAAAGTATTTTTGAACTTCTCATTAGTAAGCTCATTAATATCAAAGTTCACTTATTTCCTTTTATATTTTATCTTCTGTTACTTCTTACATGTTTTTCTTATATGCATTGGAAATTTTCCTGTTATCTACCATTAGGATGAATTGAGCTAAGTATTGTACTCAAGCATAGCTCATTCCACACAAAAGTTAATCCATGATGGGGATGAGTGGTGGACAGTGCCATACAATTTTGAAGGAAGCTGTGGTTGAAGCATAAAGAACTCTGTGCAGTCCATCCATATTATTGTGGCTTCAAAAGGAGAAACGTACGAGAGGAGAAAAAGGAGAAAAGAAGAGAAAAGTAGCTCAGATCCTGAACTTTTATTTGTTCTCCTCCTCCTGGATTCATACGCGGTGACAGGACAGACGGCGATGGAAATATGTGGAAATGAAAAAGTGAGCAACTCGAGTGGAATCTCTCCACCAACCTCCTGCACCACAATTTATTTTTGCCCGTGAGAGCACAATCTCGACCTCTCGAGTTGCTCACATTAAGTGGATTTTCATCCTTTAACCTAGCACACTTGACATGAACTTGGTTTTTGTTTTGGAACTGTAGGTCTAGTAAATTGCCCTTTTGTATTTATTATATGTTTTGTTTTTTAACCTTTTTGTTTCCCCTTGTTTGGAGAGTTGGTAGACTGCATTTCCTGATAGACTTATTGAAGTATTTATACTTCACTTTTCATGGTAGAAAATTTTAGGATTCAAATTGGCAATGGGAAACTTAAGCAATATTCTACTTTAATCTAATATAAACTACGGGGAGGGGGATTTGAAGTCGAGTGCAGAGTGGGGAGCACATCCGCTCTAGCCAACTTGGCTAAGCTCATGTCTACCATGAAATTCTACTTTAGAAGTATTCCATATATGTATTTCCACCAATGATGAATTCAAACATTAAAAGTGCAAGCAGTAAAGTACTAAAACAGAACAAACCTTTTATTCAGATTAATTAGCAATCAGCTGCAAAGCATCACAGTAATTAACAATTTAGATAAAATTAGAAATCATATAGGCCCTTGCATGAAGTTCCAAGCTCCTTACAGCATAGCCAATTGTTGTATATTAATTGGATAAGTATATGACTGTGTATTGGAACTGTATGATGCCTTGCCTAGCTGAATGTTTGCTGCTTCTGTTGGATGAAAGGCATCCCAAAACAAGTACTTTGTGCGATCTGTACAAGCTTGTTGAAGAGGCAGACAAGTTATCTGCCCATTGTTCCTTCCTACACCACAACATCCTTTATCTATCACTTCAAAACCTGCAGTATTTTCAAAATTAAAGGAGGGTTTAGATATGAAATCACAGATCAACATAAAACTTGCATTTGGACACAGAGCATATTACCAGCAGCAGATGCATTTTGAAACAGATCAAAGGTGCTTTGATAAGAATCTAGGTAGACAAACTTGGCTCCAGGCAATCGACCACGATTGAAATTGTCAACCATCTTTTTAAGTCCTGAGTTGAAAATAAGGATGGCATTGTTGATGTTTTCATTGCAGCGGCTGCTATTGCTATGATACCTTGCTAGTTGATAAGGTATGCAACCGATTTGGCCAACCCCAGTCACAATCACCTTCCGAGCTCCCAATGTATATAATTGCTGGAAGAAAAAAAATGAAGGTTTTCAAAACTTAGAACACTAACTAAATGCTGTTTTCTTCCTGTGTTTTCAAGATCTAAATGAAGGAAAAATATGTGGGAAAAGCTAGGAGTTCAGGTTGAATTGCCATTCCTGGACTTACGCTCAGCTGGCGCGAATAGTCCTGAAGGAGTGCGGCAGCGTAAGCTTTTGTAGTGTAATCAGAACTAGATGTATAGAAGTTTGGCATAAAATAGTTGTTAAGATAGTCATTACTTCCCATCCCAGAATAGAAGATGCATCTTCCAAGATAGGTGCTGAGTGCATTGGCATCTCCTCTGAAGAACCTCCTCATTTCTGCCACTGTATTGCCGAAGTTTGAAACTTGTTGGTTCATGGATGTGTGAGCACCCTGCAGAAGAAAATTCATGATACTTCATATTTTCCTCTGTCCCTCATTCAAAACTTTGAGTTTGAGTGCTTGTTTATGTAATAAGAAATAATGGATTCAGAAGCCTAGTAGAAAATGTTAGCATCTTATGTAGTTTAAAATGTCACAATGTTCTCAATGGCTTAACGCAACCATTAGCATCATGATCCCACGATTTCTTACCAGATTATCTCCCGTTTCATCACGAATTCCAGCTGCGCCTGATGCGTAATTCACTCCCCTCAGAAGTGCAGCTCCACGAGTGCTCGAATAAGGCGGAATATAAGTTCGAAACCCCAGAAGCTGAGCTGCGAATCCCACAAAAAATAAGCACACCAGCTTGGAACATTACTTAAGCTCATATGATTAAAGCACATATTATCATTCTAATCATTAATGATATACATCACAAAAATAGGGTTTTTTCCCAAAAGAAAAAAAAATTTAAGAAGAAGAAAGATATCATCAGATCATATCATTGAGTTACCTAGAACATCAACATAGGTTCTTCCATTAGTGAAGCGGCCAGTGACACCCTGAGGGAAGTCAATGCCATAAGGCCTATAGTTGGCCCTAGAAAGTGTGATCATGCGATTATTGTTTCCATTGTCTACCAATGAATCACCAAATATGAAGAAACCAGGAACTTGTGCCTGTTGTGGCTGTGACCAAGCCCTGCCATTGAACCCTAGCCAAAGAACAACAATTAACAACAAACCCAAGTCACAAAATTTCCTCATGTTTGATTGGAACCTTTAAGTTTTCTGAGACTGATTATAATTGGTGTAGTTTTATAGACATTTTGTTGGGGACCTTTTGCTTTGGCTATTATGCGATTCATGCAATATATGGTTGCGAGAGTGAGGAAGTTTCTGGTACAAGTAAGGGAAGAAGAACTTTTGGTTGCGAGTCATGTGTGCTTTTAACACTCAACCAGCGGTGATGATCTGTTCAAGACCACTATCTCGTGATCAGAAAGGCCATAACTTTATTGATATCCTCATATAGAAAAACAGGTACAAAGTGGAATAACATGATGGCTATAGGGTTATAAATGGTCTATGAATTATAACTCGATTTGCATTTTCGTCCTTGAATTCAGTCACTAAACTATGTAGTTCTTGGACCCTGTCATTACTTCTGTCAAATTTTCCGTCTATTTGAGGGGTAAAAGCGTCAATTTAGGTCCACTAGAAAGCATAATAACTTAGGGTTTATAACTATTCCACAAATTATTTGAAAGACAGTACCTTTAAGGCTCTCCCGTCATAGAGCTAAATGTAGTCCAGGACTAAAAATTTAGCCCTCCAAAATATTAATTTTTTAAAGAATACTGTAGGGCTAAAATTTTCCATCTCCAGCCATGCAGGCTATATTTTAGGGTCCTTCATATTTTATTATTTTGAGAAAAATTATGGTACAATACTCATACATTCCACAACTATATATTGTTTAATTTAATTAAACTACTATTTAGAGACAATATTCCATATATGACACGTATACGTTGATAAGAACAAAGGAAACTAAAAAAATAAGGAAACTAAAAGAAGAAGGGAAACTAAAACAAAATAAAAATTAGATGGGTTTCAATGGTCCTCCAACAGTCATGACCAAGAATTTTTTATAATTTTTTTTTTAACAACACTTGAACACATTTTAAAAAAATTACCACATAAGATATTTTTTTTAAATGAAAAAAAAATAAGGGTTGCAATGGTCTGACCTCAACGGTCATGACCAATAATATTTTATACTTTTGTCTTAAACAACATCAATTGAAGCATTTAAAAAGGCTTTTAAAAATACATATATGTCCAGCTGACGTCATTAATGATGTCAGCGTGCTTTACTTTTGACTGTTGAAAAGCAAATGCATGGCCCCACAAAAATTTGGCCTAGGCCAAAGCTGGGCTGCATGTAGCCCGATTGGAGTGCTAAAGGGCCATGTGGCCCTCCAAATTTAGCCAAAATTTTGTTTTGCCCATGGCTAGAGATGAATTTTGCATTATTTTAGGGCCATATTTGGGATATAGCCCATGGCTGGAGATGGCCTAAAAATCATCATTTCAAGGACAGACATTCATTCCACGGAGTTAATTTCCGGTGCAGCGTACTTTTCAGTACGACACAAGAGGGGAGGAGCTGCAAAATTAAACCAATTTCGCAGAGAACTCACGCCAAAGCATAAACAAGTCAGCTTTGTTGTTCGAAATGCAATTCATCAGTGGAAATTCAAACTATTATCCTAATATAGCAAATGGATTTCTTTTATTTTTTGGGTGAAAAACAAATAGCTTTCACTACCAAGCTGTGTTTTCATTTAAATTGTGAAATTGAATTTCTCGTCATTAAGAGACAATATACTATCAAGGACAGAACATTCAACACCAAACACAGTCAAAACTAGAATTACAAAATGTTTATTACTGCACTCTAAATTCCTTGCTATGGATCAACGAACTTTACGAACTTTTTCTTCCTGCCCTATCCCAAGTGATTTCTGCGCACTTGCAATACCTTCAGGATCTGCAATACAAGAACCACATTAATCAGATTACAATGTCAAAGGTTTTATCAGATGCCCAAGTTTTCAATTATCTGGCCTCAAGTAGGGATCAAGTGCATGCACGTCCAGGAAAAGTTTTACTCAGAATTACGTTCAGAAGTTTTGTTGGCCGATCATGAGCATGAAAGTTTCCCTTCCCACATTATAATGAACCACATTGAGAGAAATAATTGATCTCTCTCACTTTAATTTAATAAGATATAAACAGTTTAAAGCTATATATTATGCTTCTACTAGCATATAAAGATAGCTATAGTATTGCCACTTCATACACGGCAACCGCAGGTTGAGGGCACGGGGTCCCAGTCTTTTTTTATCTATTCTTTTCTGATTATTTTTAATGTTATAACATCTTGGCATCTACAAAGTGTAAGCACATATACGTACCAAAAAATTGTGTGAAAATACGAGTGAAGAAGTTCAAGTTGCGGGAGACATTGTACGCCATGAGAGGTGGAAGAGGTTTCACAACAGTGTCGATGCTAAAAACCCGTTGAAGGAACTGCAAACCGAGTTGTCACACGTAAACTTATCAAATAACAAATTCAGATGCAAACGTTATACAGCAAAATGAGATGGAACCATGGAAATTATGCACATAGAAAATCAAAAGTAAATAAAGGCAAATAATTTATAGCACATAACTGAACGACTGGAAGATAGTCAATTCAACATGGAGTCCATGCTTACTGAAACAGGTCAGACACACATAGTCCAAAAAAAAAAATTCTTCTGAATTGGGAGAAGGGGGAGTCAAACTGGGGACCTCTTCTACTAAAGTGGAGAGAAATACCAAAGACCAACAGCTAGGTGGTTGAGAAAAAAATCTAATTTTTACCATCCTACTTGCATAGTACTGCCATGACTCGCTTCCAGGTTAGTTAAGGCTTGTGCTCCTTCACTAAGTGCAAGTAAAGAACACAAACACTTCTGAAAACACTAGCAGAAGGGCTTTACTGAAATATGGTTTTGGCAGTCAAGCCTCAGTTCTACATCCTTACCACCCACAGAGTTTTGAAACATAAGGGCAAACTAGTTCAAACTTAATAGGACAAATTTCATTTGAAAATTTGCAAGTAATGTAGTTCCAATCCCAATACTCAAAATTTACAGAATGACTTATGAGCTAAGTCTTTAATCTAGACAAGATTGATTCGCTTCATGAAGCAATTATGGCTTACAACCACAGAATCTGTCAATAACATTGCAACAAATGACTAATTCCCACAAAATCTCCTGAATTAAGTACAGACATGTCTAAAATAAACCCAAGACCAGCTTTCTCACTAGAGAACCAAATTTATGGAACACGTGAAGCAGCACACAAGAATGACACACAACCCAGAAAAGTACAAGACCCAAAATTTTCATAATCATATCCTAATGCAAAAAACCATTACATTAGCAAACCTCTGCAATATTGAGAAATGCATAATTACACAAAACATTAAAATTAAGAAGTTCTGGGCCTGTAACCAAGAAATTGCCAGTTGGGCATTCAAACAAACACATTATGTGTCTCTAACTCGAACCACAAGTTAATAAAAACAACCAAATTAACAAATAGTTTGAGAGCATAACAGCAAATATTAAGGAAATTGCCCTGTGGTAAGCTTAAAAAGACCTGAAAGTTACGCTGGAAGCTATAGCGGAGCTCAGGGTCGATCTCAGTGAGAGAGTCTTCATAATCTTGGTCTTTGGAGCGCTTCGTTTTCTTTTTAGGAACGTGCATGGTTGGAGTGGACCCTGGCTGGCTTGTCACTTTAAGCTTCGCGTCTTGGAATTCATCTTCAGCCTCTTCAACCCTCCATGGAGCTGAAGACATCAACTGCTTCTTTGTCTTCGACATGTTCTCTCAATCCACACTCAGTATTTGCCTTGGCGGAGAGCCTAAGATGATGACTTGGTTAATGGAAGAGGGGAGCGTTTATTTTAGATAGGGTCCGTGTTTGGATGCCGGTGGAGTTGTGCTCTGTTCTACCACGAGGAATACCTTGTCTCGACACCGAATAACGGGTTTTAACATTTATAATGAGCCCCCCTCACAACTTTCTCGAATATTCTTAAGCATTTTTTTTAGCACCATTTTGAAGAAAAGTGAAATTATATTTTTGGTTCTTGTAATTTGACTATGTTTTTGCTTTAGTTTTTCGTCATTTCAATTTTGTTAATGTTAGTAAAATGGTTGCAAATGTTCACAAGGATGGCAGTGAGACCATCTACTTTATTAATTTCGGAGATGATGACGACCAATCTTTTCTAGGCCTTTTGTGTTGGGGTCCTTCTGTATTTTTTATAAAAAAAAATGCTATTAATATCATATTTGTATATCATATTATGTATCATCTTTCTAATATGAGTCCAATTTTCCTGTTTTCATTTCCTCTGTATTCTGTTACCTATCTAAACTTTTTATACATGTCTCTACACTTAACATCTAACTAACTCTGTTAACTTTAAATAAAACAAAATTTTAAAAAACCATTTATTAAAGAAAAAGCAAAATAATGAACAGCCACCAAAGCTCCCCCAATCCCCACCTAGCCAACCTTGTCAACCACCCACCCGGCCAACGGCAAGTAGGACAGGTGTTTCCAGTGAGCAAGAAAAGGGTTGTCGCCGACGGAGGTTGAGTGGGTTGGGATCTTTGTTGGCTGTTGTTGGGTCTTTTGATTTGTCTTTAATATTTTGTTTTTGTTTTTATTTAAATTTTGTTTAAAGTTAACAGTGTTAAGTTAAAAGTTAGTGTAAGGACATGTGTCAAGAGTTTAGATAGGTAATAGGGTGGACATATGGAAATTTACTTCAAGAAAATTGGACTCGTCTAATAGAAGTGAGCCCCATTATATTGGTGGGCTCCACCTCTATTAGAGAGGTAGTGCACAATATAGTATACAAATGTGATATACCTAATGATATTCACAACTTTCTTCAAAGCCAGCTTGTTTTCTCTCTCTAACCTCTCTTTCCTCTCTCTGAAACCCAACTGTCCATATAAGTATCATATATGAGAAATCATTGGGGAAATTAAGGAAGTTTATGGGAGAAAAATCTTTTATTTATTTTTTATAATAAACACTAGCCTCTCCGCAAGCGCTTCCGAGCCTGCGAGATGCTTTTTTTAAAAAAATTAAAATTTATTTTATAATTAAAAAATGGGTAGTTGTGTTCCATAAAAATAGGCCATTATCTTATTTTTCTTTTAATTTTAATTTTTTTAAATATGAAAAAATGTGAATTTACCATATTATCCTCATTTAATTAATAGTTTCAATTCTTAATGTTTGCATTAACCAAGGCCATTTTCTGGTATTTTGAATGTTTCATCATTCTCTGCCTTTTGCTTTATATATACTAGCCTCTCCACACGCGCTTCCGCGCCTGTGAGAGGCTTTTTTTAAAAAAATTAACATTTATTTTAGAATTAAAAAAGAAAATAGGTAGTTGTGTTCCATAAAAATAGGCCATTATCATATTTTTCTTTTAATTTTAATTTTTTTAAATATGAAAAAGTGTGAATTTACCATATTATCCTCATTTAATTAATAATTTCAATTCTTAATGTTTGCATTAACCAAGGGCATTTTCTGGTATTTTGAATGTTTCATCATTCTCTGCCTTTTGCTTTATATATATACTAGCCTCTTTGCACGCGCTTCCGCGGCTGTGAGAGGAATTTTTAAAAAAATTTAAAATTTATTTTAGAATTAAAAAAGATAATGGGTAGTTGTGTTCCATAAAAAGAGGATCTATTATCTAATTTTTCTGTTAATTTTAAATTTTTTTTAATATGAAAAAGTGTGAATTTACCATATTATTCTCATTTAATTAATAATTTTAATTCTTAGTATTTGCATTAACCAAAGGCATTTTCTGGTATTTTGAATGTTTCACCGTTCTTTGCTTTTTGCTTTTTATATATATAGATATACATAAACTTATAACCCAAATGCTAACAGGGTCAATAAAGAACGAACCCATAGCCCATGGCCCATTAGACGAACGAACGTACTGATACTGTTTGTGGTAAAACACAGAGAGAAGCAAACTAAAGACGCAGTGCTTGCCGTCATTTGTTTCACTCTCTCCCTCGACATGCTTGCTTTGACTCAATCGACACAGTTTTTGGTGTCAAACACTAGTAGCAGCAGCTGCAGCATCGGTTAAGGTACCACTCTCTGTTTCTCACTTCTCTGACTTTCTAGTAGAGAACTAAAATCCCAATTACATAGCCAAAATGATCATAAAGCAACTTCTCAAACGTCACCCTCACTGTAACTCTCCCTCCTATGCTTTCTTTGTTTACTTGAAGCTCTTCTCTTCAATCCCATCTACTTATTCTTGCTCTGATATCGAAACCCAACTGAGGTTTCTCTGTGATAAGTCGAATCCTCAGATTTCAGAGGCCGTTTCGCTTTTTCGGGGTTCCATCGATTCTGACCGCTTGCCTTCTGGGGTAGCCTGCAATTTGCTTGTGCACACTCTCACAAGGTCGAAAAATTATGAATTGGCGTTTTCGGTTTATAGTAAGATGACCCATGTTGGTATTTTTCCGAGTTTTATATCATTGAGTTGTTTAGTTGCATGTTTTGTTAATACCAATCATGCCAAATTCGCACCTGGGGTCTTGGGATTGGTATTGAAGCGTGGATTTCAGTTAAATGTGTATGTTGTGAATCTTATGTTAAAGGGTTTGTGTTCTAATGATGAGGTTCAGAAGGCAATGGAGCTGTTTAGTGTAATGGTAAGAAATTGTGTAACCCCGGATATTGTTTGTTACAACATTCTTATACACGGGCTCTGCAAGGCAAAAAAATTGAAAGAAGCCACAGAATTGTTGGTTGATATGGAGATGGCAGATTCTGACCCAAATGTGAAGACATACAGCACTTTGATCGATGGATTTTGCAAGGATGGCAGAGTGGATGAGGCAATGGGTTTGTTGGAGGAAATGAAGCAAAAAGGTTTGGAACCGGATGTTGTTGTGTACAGTACCCTTATAAGTGGTTTTTGTGATAAAGGGAGTTTTGATAGAGGCAAAGAAATTTTCGATGAGATGCTAAAGAAGGGTATTCCTCCTAATGTGGTTACATATAGTTGTTTCATACATAACCTCTCCAGGATGGGAAAATGGAAAGAAGCCATTGCGATGTTAAATGATATGACCAAGTGTGGAGTTCGCCCTGATACTGTTACTTATACAGGCTTACTTGATGGGCTTTTCAAAAATGGAAGGGCTACAAAAGCCATGGAGCTATTCAATTTAATGTTATTGAAGGGTGAAGAGCCTAACACTGTAACATACAATGTTATGATTGATGGACTATGCAAGGAAGGGTTGGTCGATGATGCTTTTAAGATTTTGGAAAGGATGAAGGGTAAGGGGAAAAAGCCTGATGTAATTACATACAACACGTTACTGATGGGACTTTCTACTGATGGGAAGGTTGATGAGGCCATGAAACTTTACAGAACGATGTCAAAAGACGAGAACTTTGTTGAGCCGGATGTTATCACTTATAACATGCTAATTTTTGGACTCTGCAAGGAAGGCGATCTTGATACGGTTATGGAGATTTATAATACAATGGTTGAAAGGGGCATTGCTGGTAACTTATTTACTTATAATGCATTGATAGGTGGATGTCTACAGGAAGGATTAGTGGGCAAGGCCATAAAGTTCTGGAGACATGCACTTGACTTGGGATTTGTTCCAAACTCAATTACTTATAGTCTCATGATCAATGGATTTTGCAAAACTCATATGCTTAAGTTTGCAAAAGGACTTTTTAGCAAAATGAGAGCTTCTGGGGTTAATCCTACTTTGATTGACCACAATGTTTTGATGCTGTACTTGTGTAAGGAGGGTAGTTTGGGGCAAGCTAGGATGTTATTTGAAGAGATGAGGAGTACAAATTGTGTTCCGAATCTGGTCTCATTTAATACAATTATTGATGGAACTCTCAAAGCGGGAGATATTAAATCTGCTAAAGACTTGCTAGAGGACATGTTTAAAATGGGTTTAACTCCTGATGCAATTACCTTTTCCACAATAGTAAACCGGTTTTCAAAACTTGGGCTTTTGGATGAGGCTAAAATAGTTCTTGAGAAAATGATTGCTTGTGGTCTTGAACCTGATGCCTTTGTATTCGATTCTTTATTAAAGGGCTATAGTTCAAAGGGTGAATCAGAAAAAATTATTAGTTTGCTTCATCAGATGGCAGACAAGGGTGTTATTCTTGACTCAGAAATAACTTCTACCATCTTGTCATGCCTCTGTCAAATCTCAGACGATTATGATGTGATGAAAATTCTCCCAACTTTTTCTCAAGAAACATCGAAAGGAGGAAGCATCTCCTGCAATGAGCTATTGATGAAACTCAATAAATCTTACCCAGAACTTAAATTATAAGCTGCTTGATGTTCTTCATCCCAAGAGCTTCCAATGTAGTGAGAAATCTGCAGCCAGTGCTATATTATGTAAGTATTGTATTGTCTTTCATTTTGTACATTTTGGAATGTGCCCCATTTATTCTTTTCTCATGGAATGGCCTATTTCCGGATTCAGGATGAATTGGTTTTGAAATATAAAGTTAAGATTGGAATTTGTTGTGGTTTGGTTGGTTATGTAGAATGGTACATTCTTTTGTCACTTAGGATTTTGTTTCTCTGAATATTATGTTTGTAGCGTTTTCCAGCTTTGCCTCCTTCGTTGCTATCTAAAGGAATCTATATATGTCCATTTGCATTATTCATTTATTATTTGCTTTTGTATTTTGGAAGGATAGAGTAATTGCAGTATCAAAGCATCCTTTTATCTAACATTGGTTATGTATGTATTTTTTTATTATTTTGGATATGCAGATTAGTAGCTGAGAAACTAGAACGAGGAAGTTCTGAGCGGAACTACCACTTTTTAAAAGTACATATTCAAAAGGATCTGATTTGATTATCGGAGCTTAAATATATATAATATATCTTGAATTGTTATTCTTGCCTTCATCATATTAAACAACATGAATAACAGTAAGAGTGCACCTGCATTTGAAGGCAATTCAGGCCTTTGGACATACAATACTGATTAGTTAAATATATGTATCTTTTATTTTGTTTTGGCTGTTTCTGGCACTTGGTTGTACTTTTTTGGTTTTATATGAGTTCCATCTTCTGTAGTTACACATACATTGGCAAGATAGAGACCAAAACTCTTGCGTTTAATATCATGTTTCTGGCACCTTTGTTTTCACCCTTTAATCGATTGTGATTTTGTTATCTTTTCAGATTCTGTTATAAAACATGCTCACACAGTCATCCATGATCAGGAGGTGCTGCATTTGCATTACATAATCTTGGGTAAAGAAGCATTTCACATATGTTGTTTGCTAAATGGTTTTTGCATTTATAATTCGAAAAATGCTATCTCTGTAAAAAAAATTTGTCCATTAAAGATAGTTGATGGGATGCATGTCAAATGCCAGGCAATCCAAGAGGTGGAACATAGATGGAGGTTTTTTTTTTCGTAAGTGAGAAAATGTGGCCTCATATTCATGAAAAATGACGTCATTTCTGGCCTCTGCTTACATGTCCACCACGTGACTGGCATGTGTCAACGATCTTTAATGGAAATTTATCCTACCATTAAACTTCTCTTTTGACATAGGAAAAGCCCTTTGACAATGCATACGTTTTCAACAGTCAAGCATTCCTTTGCTTTTCGACACTAGAAAAACTTATTCGAGTACAAAGGAAGGGCAACGGAAATTTCTACTAGCCTATGCATCCCGAGCTAAGATGTAAGGAGCAACTTGTTATTGATGCTTTATTTTCAATTCTGGAAGGGTCTTTATTGATGTAATTGCAGAGAGTTATATAACTGTTAATGTAGTGCCATTGATCATGTTTTTTTAAAATTCCCTTGCACAGTGGAGATGCAATTTTGTGCACTCATAAATCATGACTAAGAATTCCAAGGCATTCTATTCTGAAAAATTATTGTTTGATTTAGTGCCTGAAAATATAAGTTATAAATGGTAATTGAGAATTGAGAATTTTTCCACGACAAATATGATTATTTTGGGGTGGTATTGTATGCGTAGAGGAAGTGGTGAGGTGGTGGATCATCTATTACTGCGATATCCGGTTGCTAGGGATCTATGATCTTTTGTCCTTTTAGTCGGTGGTTGGGTGATGCCCAAGTCAGCTGTGCCTGTTCCTTATTGTTTGAATGATGTTGAGCATAAAAGCTCTCAGAACAAACTAAAGCATTTTCTTAAATTTGTTTCTATGTATACGCTGTTGAAGAACATTTTGTTTCATCACTTTTCCAGGGTTTCTTCTTTTTTGTCTCTCATAAATTTGTTTCTATGTAAATTTGCTGCTTGTGGATCAATTTGAAGTACAGTCCAAATGGAAATTAGCTAGTCTTTCTTCTATTTGGCCAAACCCCTTTATGAAAAAAAAATATATGGTATAAAGGATTTGCCCCATTTGATATATTATCAGCCAAAGAGAAAAAAATATATATATATATATATATATATATATATCTTATTGTGTTATAAGAATTTTGTAAACCCAGGTTTACTTGTAATTCAGTTAGTGTGGAATGGCATAAAGTCCTTTTCTGAGATGATTCTTGAGTCATCATTATCAGGTGACTAAACCCAGATTTTGTCAAATTCACTAAGTGCCTTTCTGAAGTGGAGCTTGTTGCTTGCATATTGCATATGCCCATTAGAGTAAGAATAAAAGCCACAAATGTTCAGCAATAATTCATCATTGTTTTTTATTTTTCCACCAGTTGTTACTCCTCTTAACAAATTCAGCTAGAATTGAAGCTTTGGTGTGGTTTGAAATCATACCATGTGAAGAAGTATTATGCCTACATGGTATAATGACTTAATTTATCAGTATGCTAAGAGTTTTTTATCCCTACTGTTTCTTTTTTAATATATTATTTGTTATAATTCCCTTCCCTCTCTTATGCAGTTTTATTTTTTCTCTCCATGTAGCATGGATTCATTGGTCATAGTGAAGCTGCACGGTGTGCTGAGATTCAGATAAAGAACTTAGTTGGGACTTGATCCGACGTGGCAAATCTTGGAGTCATCTCAGCTTGCAGATGTGGTGAAATTTGTTTGAGGAATGTCGTGCAGGTTGGGTGATTACAAAAGGGGTTTACGAGTCACAAAGTATGCAGTTGAAGGTCTAGGGAAAAAGGCAAGGCAGGCAAAATTCGGTCGCAGGGTGTGGTATTTTTTAATCACATGGAGAAAAATATGACTTTTGGGATTATTCAGGGGTGAGTATCGATGAACTTATGGATCAAGTTAGTTACTGGCATTTTTGCTCACTACCTGTAATTGGTGGTGAGCATTACCACCATATTAATGATTGTGAATGAGTTGAATTTTTGAGGTTCATGTAGCAGCGAGATTAAATCACACTCATCCAACGACAATGAATACGCTCACCAAAATTTAAAGAGAGTGGTGGGCAAAAATGTTTTCACATTTGCCAACAGGTTCAGCTGAAGCTGTTTCTCCGCAAATGATGTAACAACGCGACATGAGGTTGTACAAAAGACAACAGATGTGGTGCACAATGAGGTTGTACAAAAGACAACAGATGTGGTGCGTATTGAGGTTGTACAAAAGACAGGTTTGCATAACATCATTGCAAAATGAGAGACCCAAATATGAGACCTCACACGATAAATAATATGGGAAGTTTCTTGTTTGGTTAATCTAGAGGTGGGATGGGGGTGGTGCAAGGTTACTATGATGAAACAATTTGTAATTATATTATTTCTAATATTGATGAAATAATTTCTATTATATTATTTCGAGTACTTCAAATATTGATCAATTAGTGTTGTTCCCCATGATATTTTAGGCCATCTCCAGCCATGGATCATAGGCCAAATATAGTCTTAAAATAATGCAAAACCCATCTCCAGCCATGAATTGAAAAAAAAATTGGCCAAATTTGGAGGGCTACATTTGGCCCTTCCTTTAGCCCTCCAACTAGGCTAAATGTAGCCCAATTTTGGCCAAGGCCAAATTTTTTTGTGAGCCCAGTGCATGTGCTTTCCAAAAGGAGAAAGTATCACGTGTGAGCAAAAGCACGAAACATCTCGTGCAACTGCAGATCCAACTGCCAATATTAAAGGTGTGTTGACATCATCAATGACGTCAGCTAGTTGTTAGGTTTTTATTTTTATTTTTAATAACCTTTTTAAATGTTTTAAAATTCATTGTGTTTATATAATTGGTTTCTAATTGTTGGAGTTCAGAACCAATGATTGAAAAGTTATTATTTATTTATTTATTTAAAACCTTTTTCAATGTTTTAAATTCATTTTGTTTAAAATATATATATAAATTAAAAAATATTTTCTCTAAATCATAGTTTAATTCAATTAAACAATACATAGTTGTGAAATATATGAGTGTTGTACCATAGTTTTTTTTTATTAAAATAATAAAATATGAATGGCCCTAAAATATATCCATGCATGGCTGAAGATGGAAAAATTTAGCCCTACTCTATTCTTTAAAAAATTAATATTTTGGAGGGCTAAATTTTTAGCCATGTACTACATTTAGCCCTATGACTGGAGATGGCCTTACAAACTATTGGTGCTATACATATTCCAATTTATCCCACAGAATATCAACTTGTTTGGGGTCCTTCTCCTTCTGGTAAATTTTCTATTAATTCAGCCAAACGTCTTCAAATTACTCATAGTAGTTCCTCTCTAGATTCTTATTTAGCTCGCCTTTGGAAAATAAAATTATCCCCAAAGATTAATTTGTTTTTTCTTGGTTGTTTTCACAACTTAGACATAATGCTTGGTAACGACTCTCATTTTCTTCCTATTTCTAATCTTTTTCCATTTTGCAATCTTTCTCCTGGATCTTTTACTCATGTTTATTCATATCAACTTTGGAAGCATCTTAACTACAAGTAGTTTGTATACGCATTATAATATAAGTATACGACAAGGTTGACAAAATATTTTATGAGTATACTTTCCTTTTTGAAAATAGTATTAATAAATATCCACTCATATTATAACATGTGGACAAGTTATACCATATAGCCATATTACCGTACTATTCTATAATCTTCAACAAGTCTCTCTGATGTGGAGTGTATATATAAACTCAAATACCTTTGTCACCATTTTCATACAAAATGTCATAAATTGTAAAAATATATGAAATAATTAATAAGCTTGAAAACATTTACCAAACCTAAAGGAAATAATTTATAAACAGTAAGTCAAATAATCAAGCGCTTATCAATCATTGTGGTTGGTCAACTAACATACATGGTTCATGAATTGACACTTACCAAACGAAAGGAATACATGTGTCATAACCTTCGACTTCACGTTTGCCGTCAGGTTTACTAAAAGCTTATTTGCAGAATCTGTGTTCGACCGGACCTTTAATTGGCGTGTTAAAGTTGGTGATAATCATAGTTTATCCTAACTCTTTTTTTCTGAGAGGAAATGGAATTCCATTAATTAAGTTGACACCTAATGTATATGCATTACCCAAACTTTCTGTACATAAAAAAACAAAGTACACTCAGAGAATATTTTGTCTAATTAATATTCACCAATTATTAATTACTTTTTATATGCAAGAGAACAAGAACACGACCTTCAGAAGCTAAGGTACACCACTAGGGTCTAATAGCATGCAAGAGACAGAGATCTCTAATAGTCAACTAGGAAGAAGCTTCACAAAACAAATTGAGCTTATGAGAAAGAAGCTTGTAAAAACTATGGTTTTAAAATGATTGATATAGATCTACTACCAACTCTTTAGCTGATTAGGTATTTGATGTTGTTAGCTTAGCTAAGTCTGCTAGAGCAAATGTCCTTTTTACTCTGGACTCAAGTCGACAAGTTAGCTAAGTCAACTAGAGCTAATGTGCTCCTCATTATGGATCGAAGTCGACAACTTAGTAAAATCAGTTAAAGCGAATGTACTCCCACTTCAAACCCAAATTGATTACATGTTGTAAGATTCAATTTAAGTGGAATAGTATATAAAAAAAAAAGAGGTATCTTATTTTGTAATTTTCCATCTTCGGTCCTTTTTAAGTTAAAATTTGAATTAAAATGTGATATGGTAATAGGATTTGTCGATGATCCTCTTTATGATTTTGCTTCTTATTGTTAGAAAAAAAAAAAAAAAAAAAAAGTTGTACCCTTAATTTGCGGCTTTACTAAAATGAGTTTTGTCTTCACTACATCTGTCTAGTCTTACCGCAAGCAGATGAACGCGTGTCGTACGTGGCACTAAGAAGATGACCAACTTTTGAATACGGAAGAAAAGAAATTATTTAATATATATTCAATCAAATGTAAAAAAGAAAAAAGTTTACAAACCCATAAACACTTATCTGCTAGAGATCAGAGAGAGAAAAAGATCAAGAATGAAGATCATCTTGATAATCTATGGGCAAAAGGGTCTGCCTAAGCGAGCCCTATGACTTGGAATGGTGAAGTGCCTAATTCTACCCTCTTGTTCTCTCAAGTATCCTTCACAAAGGAAAGCCTTTGAGAATTTATCCTCTACATTTCTATCCACATCATGCACAAACACATCAGTCTCCCCTTCCTCTCTGTTCCTCCCCAACAACCCAGCTGTGTATATGGCACTCATTCTGCCTGGAGCTCCATCAAAGTACCCTGTGGGTGCATCCACCATGATCAAATCCCACTCTATATCATAAACCTCACTTGGCCAGTTCTTGAGGGCCAATTCACACTTTGAAAATCTTGGATCCCCAACAACTTTGCACTCTTCCTTCATCCCAGTCTCCATGAGCTTGTCTGCTTGGTGAACCTTGGTGTCATAGGAAACATGGTAGGCCTCTAAGTTGGGTAGCTTTTGTTGGATTTGCTCAATCCATGACTTGTCTTCTTCCAAGAAAACTGTTCTTCCTCCATGGTTGAGAGCTGTCCACATCAAGCTGTCAAGTCCAAGGCCAAAGACTAGGAAATTGCAGGGTGATTTCTTTTGTAGGATTCTGGATGAGACTGATATTTCTTTGATGGTTTGTTGTGGGGTGATGTTTGTTGTTGCATAGTGAATGATGGCATTGGCTAGGGAAGGTGGGGTTTTAGTGCATGTTGGGATGAAGGGTTGTTCAAGGGAAGGGCATGGTGTTGAGGATTGTGGGGATTTGGAGTGAGGGGTTGAGGTTGAGAGATCGGCTTGGGAGATGTTGATGGATGTGGATGTGGATGGGGTTTGGAGGGGAGACGAGAAGTTTGATCTGATTATGAAGATGGTGAAGAGGAAGATGAAGAAGCAGCAGAGGAGGATCAGGTTGAGATTGATGCCACATTGAGGTTTGGACCTCATGGTTCTTGATTGATGATGAGAGAGAGAGAGAATTGAGGTCTTGGAGGTTTTATTGAAGGGGAGAATGGATGAAGAGAGGGAGGAGAGAGGGCATTGTTTGTTTTCTGCTTTTCATAAGGAGGAGGAGGGAAATAGTGGAAAGCTGGTACCTGAGAATTAGATATTTTTTATATGAGTAAAGCTGGAATAGTAGTAGATCCATGGTAAGGTATCATGCACCATAAAAAATGCATTAGCAGAAAATAATTCCAAAGGGAAAGCTTTTTTACCCTCACATCTACTAATAAAACACATAAATAGCTCCTAATCATGGATATAATTTCATGGGACCCACCCAGGGTTGTATATTATTGTCTTTTTAAAAGGAATTAGAGAGAGAGAGAGAGAGAGAGAGAGAGAGAGAGAGGCAATGATTATTTTATATTGTGGTTTCTAAAATATTCATCTTAGAAGTGAAGCAAGGTAGGTTGTTGGAGGCTTGATTTAGACTTAATTAGCCTATTTTTTTCGGTTGGTAGAAATAATAACATGGTTGGTATTGTTTGTTGGATATATCTTTTGATTTCTTTCTTCTAGTTGATGGAAGATGTGATGTATTTGGAGGGGTTGTTGATAAGAGTCATAAGAACATGATATTGTCTTTGATTATATAATGTCTTTTGAAGCTTTTTGAACATGGAGTAGTTATAAACAGCCTTCGTTTTCATTTTCTTGATGTTTTGGATTGAGTTTGACATATATTTTGCACAAAATTGGAACTCGGTCTCTACATTGTTACAAGAGACTTTGAGAAGACTCCATAGTTTTTTCTTTTCTTCCCTTTTTCTTTTTGTTACTGACAAAACTCCATAGTTGTTACTGCCTTAGCAAAAGAGGCACACGTTACACATCCTATTTTCTCTTATACACCTTTTGTTTTTTCACTAGTGTCTGTGGCTGTTTTTATTGTGTACATAATCACGTTTCTTTAATTAGTATGTATCTTTAGTCATTGTGGGCTCCTTATAAAGTGAATAAAAAGAAGGAAAATATTAGGCTCCTTATATGCTTATATGTCAATCAGGTATAACTCAATTGGTTGAGTTCTTTCACCTTCCCTTATGTGGACTAGAAGTTCGAGACACCCAATAAATATTTGTGTAAACCCTCCTCCTTCAATCGCTTGTACTAAAAAGAAATTCATTATTTTTTGCAAACAAATCACGGTTTGACATGTGCATCGTAACTTTTCTTTTTCTAATTTTAACAAGTTAGTTTTGTGTATGTGAGGTATTCATTGAGGTGCATAAAGCACCGCTAACTATTTATATTTCAATTTTTCTTCAAGAAAGTATTCAAAATTATAATTTAGGGCATATAAAATCTTATAACACCATATTATTTAACACAACATATAATAATATAATAACTATAGGACATGAATTTCAAAAGCTATATGAAAATCAATAAAAAAACAAATGTGTCATCTACATATCGGGTTAAATTGAGCTAGAGAAACATATATTATGCATACATATTGTAAAATTAACACATATATCACCTAGACTTTTGGCATTCAAAACAATTTTAAATTTAGTAGGACGCCGATCTTTATTTAAAAACCATGTAAAGGCTATAAACATGACACCACATATTTTTATCTACACTTCTCTTTTTCCCCATTGATCCAATGCTTGGATTTTCTTTGTTATGAATTGCTTCACTTCTCATCTCCACATGCCGCATCATTCCTTAACAAATTTATCTTTTGTTTTCAAATTTCAAGGGCATATATGAAAACTGAAATTGAAAAAAGAAAAAAAATGAAAAAGGGTCTGACTAGAAAACAATTGGGTCCAAAAGACTTTTGGCCTTCACTTTAGAATCTTCTTTGCCGCCAAAAGAAGGAAAAAAACCGCAAAACCCTACTGCTCCTTCTCGTGCTCTCCGACTGTAAACTCTACACAAAGCTAAGCTTTTTGTCTCCAGTCAACAACAAAGAAACAGAGCAGGAGCAATGAAGTTCGCAGTGAAGGCATGGAGCAGCGGAAAAGCGCGGGCAGGGGTGCTCCAGCTGGGCAGCTGCCCGGGCCCAATAGAGACCCCTTCTCTTCTCCTCTCTACTCGAAAGGGCCTGCCCCATTTCATCCCCCCTGACCTTCTTTACTCTCTTCCTTCCCCTGATTCCCATCTCTTCCATGTTAGCTCCCTTCACTTGTAAGCATTCATAGCCTCAGTCTCTTTCTTCTTTATACTTTTTCCACACTAAAATTGCATTCTAGCTGTTTGTGAATTGGTTTGTGAGAAAAAAGATTCAAACTTGTGAGAAAAAAAAATTCAAACTTTTTTCAATTTTTTTGCTTCTGCAGCTTGGAAGGCCTCTCACCACAAACCATATCAAAGATAGGAGGCTTGCATCAGTTGCTTGGTTTGCCGGAACACGGGTTCGTCTGCATACCAAGGGACTCTATTCAATGCCTTCCAGAATGTAATAGCAGTAACAAATTTGGGGCATCTTTTGAGACTCCTTGCGGTCGCCGTTTGGTAATTGCCTCATGTTGTTTCTTGGAATGTAGTGATTTCTAGTTGACGACTTCTAGTTTGTTTTTGAGTTAATTATGGTGACCCTGGTGACTGATTGTGCAGTCTTTTTATATGCTTGCAGATTAAACCTGTAGAGTATGTTGAGTTGATTTCTTCCTTGAGACCCAATATATGGACTACTTTGGCTGATGAAGTTCCTACGTGGGTATCTGAGAAGAGGAACAAGACCTCAGTTGATCGAACTATTAGATGGCTTGATGAATGCATTGCGCTAAATCCGGTAAAAGACCATACTTTTAGAGATGTAACCAGTATCATATCTACATGCATATGCACTCACTTCACTTGCATATGGGCGACATACAAGGTGTGCTGCTAGCAAACCTAGCAGTTGGCGTTCAGTGAAGGGAATGTTCTAACTGAAAATAGATAGAAATTAACAACCTCAAAAACTCTTTGGAGAGTTGCGCTTACTCATAAGTCCAGGAAGTCAAGCAAACCACAGATATTGATGGAAATAAAGAAAAAGGCCTCTAGGGATGAGTATTTTTGCCACTTAAGTTAAGCCTCTGAAAACCGATACCAAGCTCACCTTGGGTGGAAAAAGTTACTTGATTTATACAAACGTCCTTAATATTCCAGTGTGATAGCAAATTTGTGTACCTTAGCTTCTACCAAGTTTTCATTGGAGATTGATTTTCACTTTGATTATTGATAATTGTGAAAAGTGGTAATCAGCATTTCGTCGAGTTTCAATATGATTGACTTGATGCCATAAATGGTTTACTCAATTATAAATTATGGAAATATATTGATCCTCCATAATGTAGGCAGGTGGACCTGTCTTTGGATCCATTGTTGGAGGGTGTTCTGTAAAAGAACGTGAACGATGTGCGCAAGAAGCGGCCCGCAGAAATTTATCAGGTTTCTGCAATTCTTCATTTCTTCCTTTGTTTTTTGGACTTGTATGTTGTAACATTTCTAAGAATTCATTTGAGTTTCTTTTTTCAAGAGAAGCAAAATATTATTAAATCAAGGAAACTCTGTACAAATTGTGGATAAGGCATCCTTGTCCAAAATTACATAGACTAAGAATAACTTTAAGATCGATTAAAAACGACTGAAAACCTAACAAAAACATCTAGACCACCAAAAGAAAATGGTAAGTCCAGTCATGGGAAATGGTTGCCTGGCACATGTGAAAATAGGGGGGGGGGG